CACAATAGCCAAGTTATGGAAACAGCCAAGATGCCCCACCACTGACGAATGGATTAAGAAAATGTGGTATCTATACACAATGGAATTTTATGCAGCCATGAAGAAGAACGAAATGTTATCATTCGCTGGTAAATGGATGGAATTGGAGAACATCGTTCTGAGTGAGGTTAGCCTGGCCCAAAAGACCAAAAATCGTATGTTCTCCCTCATATGTGGACATTAGATCAAGGGCAAACACAACAAGGGGATTGGACTATGAGCACATGATAAAAGCGAGAGCACACAAGGGAGGGGTGAGGATAGGTAAGACACCTAAAAACTAGCTAGCATTTGTTGCCCTTAATGCAGAGAAACTAAAGCAGATACCTTAAAGCAACTGAGGCCAATAGGAAAAGGGGACAGGACTAGAGAAAAGGTTAGATCAAAAAGAATTAACCTAGAAGGTAACACCCACGCACAGGAAATCAATGTGAGTCAATGCCCTGTATAGCTATCCTTATCTCAACCAGCAAAACCCCTTGTTCCTTCCTATTATTGCTTATACTCTCTCTACAACAAAATTAGAGATAAGGGCAAAATAGTTTCTGCTGGGTATTGAGGGGGGGAGGGAGGGGGGAGTGGGTGGTAAGGGAGGGGGTGGGGGCAGGGGGGAGAAATGAACCAAGCCTTGTATGCACATATGAATAATAAAAGAAAAATGAAAAAAAAAAAAAGTAACCTTAGCTTCTGCATGAAAAAGAGTCCCAATATCTAATTAGCAGACTAGTTAAAAGTACAATTGTGTCCCCGGGTGTGGTGGCACACAATGGTAATCTCAGCTACTTGAGATTGAGGCAGGAAGATCAGGATTTTTTTTTTTTTTAGAATTTCCATCCCTTTTTAAAATTAGGATATATTCATTGTACAGGGGAGATTCATTGTGTCAATTCCATATAGACTTATATTGTACATTGGTTAGATCGCCTCCCACCCACCCTCCCCCTCTATCCCCTCCCCTCTCCACTTGGAGCAACTGCAAAAAGTTTGGAAGATGACAAGTTTGAGGCCAGTCTGAATAATTTAGTGAGACCCTACCTCAAAATAAAATAAAAAAGTGGGGATATAGCTCAGTGGTAGAATGCTTGCTAGCTTGCACAAGGCTGTTGGTTCAATCTCTAGTATAGCCAAAAAATAAAACTAAACAAGCAAACTGTATATATATATATACAGTAAAGCAGTTTTTAAAAAATAACTTCAAGATTAAGTATTTTAATGAATTTACTTTGAAGCTGTAAGTAGAACAAATACTGCAGGAACTTACCATTAATTTAAAGTAAACATATAAATTAAACTAATATATAATACTGAGTAAATCCCTAAATTATGGGGCACCATCATACCAAAGATTAACATGCAAAACATGTTTACATTTAATTTTTCTATCTCTATGCTTTGCAATCTACTTTGCTACATGTTTGAGGGCACAAAATGTCATTTTGTATCCATAGAAAAAGAAAATGTACTTCAGTGCTAGTCTTGATACTCTAACACATACCATTGATGAATGAGAGGATATATTCATGAATGAGGGCTGAATTTGCATGGATACCCAGTTACTTTGCTCCTTTTCAAAAGTGGCAAAGGAAGCAAGTTGAGGTGTAAGCTTTCAGAATTTTCTTATCAGCTTTCTTTGGCCTTAGCTATTGAACTTGTAAAAATGGAAAAACAAAGTAAAATGAAAGAGTGTCTGGTTTTGCTTTGGCAGGTTGCAGTCTTTTCTTCAAAGCAAGTAAACATGTTTTCAAGAATTCTTTGAATAACTGCACTTATGTTTTCAATTGTGTTGAACTCAGTTGCTTCTTTGACTCTGGCAGAAACCTGATTAGGAAGTATAGTTCACTTCCTGGAGGGTGGCTCAGATGGTCAAACTTTTGTTTTTATGTCTTACTGAAAAACTGGGCAGACTTTTTTTTTTTCTTTTGCCAAGATAATAGAAAAAGTGCTTATGAAGACTAAGCACAGACCATTGGGAAAAAGAACTTAAATTAATGGTTCTTAGTTTCCTGTATTCAAAATCCAAGATTCTTATTACTTCAATTTATTCTTTGGAACTACATATCTTTATGATTTAAAATATCTTTTTTCCTCTTTTATTAAAATTCAAATGAATTTGAATTACAAAGTAATACTGAAGGGGTATAAAAGGGTGTAAGAAATTAGTTAACAGTTAAGAAAACATTAAAACTTCTGTTTCACTGCCAGATTGTTTAGATTTAGGGGATATTTTATTGCCACTTCCTCTCTCTCTCTCCTCTGCGTTATCTGTTTTTTAAAAAAATTTATTCACAACCATAAAAGACTTCTTATTAACACAATTGTGATTTCCTCGCTTATATGAAGAAATTAAATCCAGAACATAAATTATGCACCTGTTTCAACAGTGCTCCTAAGACACAGATGACAACTATATAAACGGAAAAAAACAGATTAAAATATTTAAACAAGGAAATAGAGGACTTTTTTGAATTATTTGTTTTACTAGAAACTACCCTCTGAGTATTATATTACCAATCTCTGGGTGCTAAGAGTAGGTACTGAAGGTACTATGATCAAAAAACTAAATCCTGCTCCAAATTTAATGAGGGAGACAAGGAAATAAGCAGCATAGGATGAAGAGTACATATGTTGAGATGAGAATACCTACAGTTACTGGTTTGTCTCTACCTCAGCCATACATTTTAAGGTTCAAATAAAATTTCCCTCCATTACTAGTTTCTCTAAAATTGTATTAAATTTTTTTCTGCTGCTTCTAATTTGAAACCAGAATGATCATTAAATGAAAAACGACATGATGAGAACTTGAGAGTTGTTTTCTCTCCAGGAGAAACAGATGCTTCTCATGCAATATCAAAAATGAATTCAATATTATTTGTACAGATGGGATTTTGCATTCAAGCTTTCTTTTGGAACAGGTTCTAATGTAATAGGACGTAACTTTCAGATAACGTGCTAGTGGAAGATAATTCATGAAAGTTTTTTCTATGCAATTGGGACCTGGACTCAATCTGAGACTTCTCTTGTAGGACAGAAAGAATTATATTGTCAGATTTTTAAAACATTTTACCTTAATGGGGCACATGGAAGAGAAATAATTTTTTGATGTCAGTTGAAAGAATTCTATTTGGATTTTACCCAAAATTCAGATGGTGAAAAGGAGAGATACCCTTGTTAAGTTTACATAGGTTGTGGTTCAGAGAACGTAAGACAGCAAGCAGCAAATCAACGAGACAAGGAAGGAAAGTCTAATGCTCACCAGGATTGAGGATTGGACACGTGCAGCCTCTGTTTGTCCATGATTCTGGGTATAGTGTTCTCTTTCCTCTTAAGATCTTCAGTTTGGTGGATTTTAAGACTTTTTTAATCTTCACGTTGACCTCAGCATGAGAACCTTTATCATGAGCTGATAAAATCTTTATTTTTAGCACTGTAACAATGATTCCAAAAGTCAAAATATATAGATTGAACCCTGCCTTCTAAAATTTGAACAACTTAAATATGCATTTCAGTATATACTGGAAAGCTGACTTAATGATGATCAGAATGTAGAAATTTGCTTAAAAATCATTAGCTCATTCATTTTTGCATTGACTTCAACTCACTTATGTTAACTATATTATTTCTTGGGTGATTTCAACTTCTACTCCCTCCTGTATCACTATACTAGTAGGATATCAGTCATTTGCCTTCTGCAAATATAATCAAGTATGTTCTGCTATCAAACCTATATAGAAAGAAATAGGAAGTAGAATTGTTATCCTGGTTCTTATTTAAATTTTAATTATATTATGCTTTTACACTGTATAAAGTTATGACAGAGAGCAAAGTGTTATGAGAACCAACTTTTTGTTTCATTAATTCTTTGTATGGTTTTTTTGGTTTCTATTTCATCGATTTCAGCTCTTATTTTTATTATTTCTCTCCTATTTGTTTTGGGATGAGCACAAAGTGTTATGAGCAGAATATATTTTATATAGTCTAAAAGAGATTATATAGTGCTATCAATTATCTACTATTTTTTTTCCTCCTCTAGTGTACAATGAAAGCTGACAGGGGTTAGTGAAGTTGTTCCTCTACATGATGACAGAACTCAAGTATTCTTTTTAATTTTTTTAAGCAATTTCAAAAGTATTTTAAAACTGACACATAAAATTGTGCATATTTACAGAGACCTAGGTAAGATTTCAGTATATATATACTTTGTGTTACGTTCAAATCAGAGTAAGCAGATCTACTCAGACATTTATCATTTCTCTGTAGTGCAAACATCAAAGTTCTTTCTTCTAGCTTTTCTTGAAATGTACAGTACAGTACAGTGTCATTACAGAGCTCAGTATCCTGCTTGACTTGTGATTCTACTGTGCTCTCCCATCTATGAGATGGATGTGGCTAAAGATTAAGTAATGCAATAAGCTGGGATGGAGAAGGAAACAGACCTAAGGAACACTAGAATGCAATTTTCTGTATCACTAGGTGAACTCTTGCAAATCATGATGAAAGACTATGTGCAATAAGAGAATCATTTCTTGGCTGATCCCATCTTCTGAGAATATAATTGTCACAAAGCTATCTTTATTGAATCATCAAAGTTTAGATTTCTAATGGGTCTTAGGACCTCCACCTAGTCTTGTGTGTTTTAGGAAATTCAGTGAACTGCTTATGTTAAGGGACTCCTTGGTTAGAGAAGAGTTTGGATTGGTCCCTGATGAGATGAACACAGGAAGAATATACAGCATAGTGCCTGGCTCATGGCGGATATTCACTGTGATTCTTCCACTAGCCTGTAGCCTGAGAGCAGGGCCTTGTCTATTCACTGCTATCATTCAATAAATATTTGATAAAGGAATAAACAAGCCAAGTATTTTCTCCATTAAGCCAGAGACTAGAGGGAAGAAAAATTTTCCAAGCCTGAAGATGTAATGTACTCAATAATACAAAGAGTGTCATTACATCTTTAACAATGTTCACATTGTCTTAAGTGGAAAACTGATAACAGTTAATTGAAAGATTGGTTGTTGTTGAGAGCTGCCAATCCTATATGATAATAAGAACCTGTTGACATTTTCGCTGAACTGACTTTGGAGGAAATTGTCGTGTTTCCTGCTTTTAGTAATAAATGCCATTCCTTCTGAACTGTCTCTCCTTTATTGGGCTCTATACATTTCAAAAGCTCTCTTCTATTACTTGGCCAAGTTGGGAAGTAAAGAGAGGGAGCTGTGCATGTAATATTAGATAAGATTTATTTGGATTTTACCACTTACTTTTAAATCTTTTATGACATTAAATACAATGTTATCAAGAACTTAAATACTGTGCTTAGTTTCAGGAATTATGACTTAAAATTTTATCTTCATTGTAATGATTATTTCAGGCATATAAACCACAGAACAATAAAAAAAGCCACAAATGTCAGTCAAGAATGTGTTGGCAAGATAAGGTATCTCAATATATTTAATTGTAAATATAAGTCCATTTAGAATTTGAAGACAGCAACAGTCTTTACTTAGGACAGTACCATGTTCTTTTTTCCATATGATGTATTGTCCTGACATTTGAAAGGTAGAGTAGTCTAGAATATTCAGAGAAGTTAGAGAAGAAAGCTAAGTGGATAACTACTAGTCTTACTGATTCACAAATATATATCCTCTTCTTCCTATTTTCCACGTATCTGGTATGTGCTAGGTAATGTGCTAATGTCATCAGCCAGGCCTCCCATTTCCTTAAAACTCTCTGTACTTGGTTTGAATTAGGTGATCTGAATCATTTGAGGACTCCAAACTCACCGTATGAATATTTCATTCCACAGAATGCCTTGGGATTTCCTAACACCTGTTCCTTACATTCACATTTACCTATAGAAAATAAAAGGAAAATGGTGTTAGTTATTTAAAAGGAAGGAAGGAAGGAAGGTAGGACCAGCAAGTAAATCCAGTTAACATACTCTTTTTTTTTTCCAGTACTGGTGTTTGAACTCAGGGCCTACACCTTGAGCCACTCCACCAACCCTTTTTTTGATGATTTTTTTTTGAGCATCTCGTGAACTATTTGCCTGGGCTGGCTTTAAACCGCGATCTTCCGAGTAGCCACTAGCGCCTGGTGAGGTAACATGCTCTTTAAGCCTTGAGTGATCATACAATATAATCCATAAATATTAAGCAACTATGAAAGTCCTTCAAAAGAAGTAGTTTCTTTCTTAAATGAATTAGTTATCATCTAATAAAATATTAACCTGAGAAAATTATAGAAGGAAGAAACAATGTCATATTTCAATGCTTGTAACTGATGTTATGGTAAATACAGTCCAGTGTTATGAATGGGAACATACTACATGGATAATATACAGAAAAGACAATTGTCTTTTTTAAGGTAGTGTTCAAAACAACAAAAGTCATATAGAATAAAATGAATGGATAGCCCATTGAAGGTAACTGGACAGTAGTATTGGATGTTATCGTTTTGTAAGATTATTTATTTAGCACCCACGATGTGCAAGCCATAGTGTTTTTCCTTCGGGGTATAGAAAGACGAGCAAGATGCAATTCTTGCTTAAGGCTTATAAAATTCAGTAAGGCCAATAAAGTGAGTAATAGAAAGTGGCGAGTGGTCTATGAGAGGTACAACATGCTTGGGTAGGAGGTCACATATTGTTTGGGAAGATGGAAAAAGGCTTCATGGTTGAAGAAGGATTTGAAATGGACTTTCAAGAAAAAGTATTTTCTCCCAACAGTTGAGTTATTTCTTATAGTTATTATATAGGAGCAATTTGCCAGGCCCTGTAGAAGACGTTCACAATGCACATAGATTACATATAGCGCTCTCATACTTATCTATGTATGTTTCTTCTCTAGAGTGCACCTTGAAACAATGACTATAAGAAAAACAATGGTATGTCTTATTCATTTTTATGTTCCTAAAACTTAGAGCAGATGTGATCTTCATTTTTACTGATCTAACAATTGGATTTAGTGTCCCCCTTTCCTCTCCTCTCCTCTCCTGCTCTCATGTCCTGCATTTCATTAGCACTGAGTGGTAGCCACTAGCTCTTACTGAGGAGCATTTACTATATGCCAGGTACTTTAACAGCTTTTTCTCTGTTGGATTGGGGATTGAACCCAGGGTCTAGTGCACGCTGGAAAAACTCTCTACCCTGAGCTACAGCCCTAGCCTTACCAGGTGCCATTTTATTTCACACTAATTTACTCACTTAAGAGTCTTAACAGGTAGAAATTTGATAGGAATGTGGAGATAAAAGAGCGAGCAAAGCAATGTAAGAGTGGGTCTAACTGGGGCGGTGTCTGTTGATCAGACAATGTGGGTCGAACTGGAGAGGTGACTGTGGGTCGAGAAAGGAAGAAGTATCAAGCTGGGCATGGTGGCACATGCCTGTACACAATCCCAGCATTCAAGAGGCTGAGGCAGGAGGACCATGAGTTGGGGGCTAGCCTGGGCTACAACAGTGAGACTGGAAGTGGGGAAGGAAGGAAGGAAGAAGTGTCAAGAGATACTTCAGAGTTTGCTTGCAAATAGTGTTAATGGATTGGGTGATGGCAAGGATAAAGGAAAAATGAAAACGAACTTGGTAAAAATGAAGTTTTCTGCTAAGGTGGCCAAGGACTGTACTGTCACTAGCAAATAGGGAAGTTAGGAGGAGAGTGTTCAGGGTTGCCTAATGTAAAGGCTTGTGGCAGCAATCACTTTTCTAGGTAACTTATTGAAAGGATATGGAGTAGTTCTCAGAAGGGAGAAGCAGCAGAAGAACCAGGACTCAGAAAGATCAGTAATCAGGAAGCCCCAGAGACTGCAGGAACAGCAGTCTCTCTTACAGCTTCGCCACTGGGGTCATGAACTCAAATCATCTAGACATTTTGCCATTTTAGCTCATGACTTAAATTCCAGAGAAAGAATGCATCTGATTGACTTCTCTAAGACTATATTAAATGGTGTTTCATGCCTTAAATCCCAGGTACTTGAGAGGTAGAGGCAGGAGGATTGTGCTTTGACTCCAGCCTGGGCACTTTGACGGTCTTTCTTTGGCTGCCTTACAATATCCCTTTGAGCTTACAGCTCAAATATTAAAATTTGTTTGTCAAACTGGGCATGGTGTACATGCCTGAACTCCCAGCTACTCAGGAGGCTGAGGCAGACGGATTACTTGAGCCCAGAGGTTGGAGACTAGCCTGAACAACATAGTGAAAAAACATTTCAGGAAAAAAAATTTGCTTGTTAGGTTTCAGTCCAGATGTATTTTCTTAAAAGAAACCTGGAAGAGGAGAAAAGCTTGTTTGGTTATACTACGTTACTAGAACTTTTTTTTATTGTTTTATTATTCATATGTGCATATAAGGCTTGGGTCATTTCTCCCCCCTGCCCCCACCCCCTCCCTAACCACCCACTCCGCCCCCTCCCTCTCCCTTTCCCCTCACCCCCTCAATACCCGGCAGAAATTATTTTGCCCTTATTTCTAATTTTGTTGTAGAGAGAGTATAAGCAATAATAGGAAGGAACAAGGGTTTTTGCTGGTTGAGATAAGGATAGCTATACAGGGCATTGACTCACATTGATTTCCTGTGCGTGGGTGTTACCTTCTAAGTTAATTCTTCTTGATCTAACCTTTTCTCTAGTTCCCAATCCCCTTCTCCTATTGGCCTCAGTTGCTTTTAAGGTATCTGCTTTAGTTTCTCTGCGTTAAGGGCAACAAATGCTAGATAATTTTTTAGGTGTCTTATCTTCACCCCTCCCTTGTGTGCTCTCGCTTTTATCATGTGCTCAAAGTCCAATCCCCTTGTTGTGTTTGCCCTTGATCTAATGTCCACATATGAGGGAGAACATACGATTTTTGGTCTTTTGGGCCAAGCTAACCTCACTCAGAATGATGTTCTCCAATTCCATCCATTTACCAGCGAATGATAACATTTCGCTAGAACATTTTTAAAAAGGAGCATAGGTTATAGTTCTATGGTACCACTTAAAACCAGTTTTTGTTACTGAGGAAGTAAAATTTTCACATCTGGTGTTTTCTGCCTCTCAAGAAGTGGTTGAAATTAAGAGTATGAAGGGGCTTGGAGGTATAGGTCAGAGGTAGAGTTGCCTGCCTAAATAATCCAGTGCCCTGGGTTCCATCATAGCCCTGGAAAAAAAAAAAAAAAGAAAGGAAGGAAAGAAGGGAGAGAAGAAGAAAGGAAAGATTAGGGCATTTTATTGGCATACTGCTTTAAAAACACAGTTCAAGTTTTTATGGAAAGTTAAAGTAGATCCACAGTTAAGTAGGCACCTAAATTTGAGGATGAACTTGATTTTCAAGTGCTTAAGAAACTGCCCATCATTTTTTGTTGAAGACAGATGCCCAGGACCACTTTCCTACACCCAGTGGGAACGCTGCTGTTTAGCCGGAAACTGAACAAAGTCTCTCTCCATCTGGAGCGCATCGAGATGAGTCTCACAGGCTCTCTGGGGACATCATAGACCACGCAGCTGTGGCGAACACGAGAGTCTGGAGTTGTTCTGGTGCCAAAACACTGTGCTTCCTGCTGCCAGCTCCCTCATAACAAGTCTGATGGGCTTAGTGACGCACTACAGGCCTAAGAACCCCATTGTTACAGATTTGGTTCAGCAGACGACATGGGGAATAATAGAAAGCCATTGTTTTAGTAAAGTAGAAGATCTAAACACCCAGCAATGTTTCACAAAAGAGAAAACAAAACAGACATTGCCTATGTAAAAGTCTAGACATCTCTCCGTGGATTAGAAATGAGTGAATGTGTAAAAGGGAAGGGTCCCTAAATCCTACATCTTTTGCTTCTGGTTTCAGAATGGGGCAGCAGTGGCCAGGAATTCAGATCTTAAGGAACTAAGGGACAAAAGAGGGACACTTTAAGGACAGAGACTGGGTAAGGCTCCTCTTGCTTAGAAAATGAGGTTGGAAATAGAAACAAAACCAAACTATGGTTGCTCAGGACCTGGGTCTTTCATTTTTTAGCAAGCTGCAGGCTAGCTTCATGGATGATAACTGCACAGTCACACTGGGTTCTATGCTGAGAAGGATCTTGTACTTGATTTAAATGCTATGTGTGTCACCTTGAAATCTGTAATCAGTTTTAAACAAGGTGCATTTCAACTAGCACTGAGTCCTGCAAATTATGTACCTGGTCTTGTAAGTAGCCTCAAAATGGATCCAAGTTGCCCTCCTTGTTTTCAAAGAAGAGGTATAATACAATGAAATAGATTAGAGATCATCGATAAAATGGTCTAAAAATCCCTGTTTGGCCAGGCACCGATGGCTCACACCTGTACCTCCTAGCTATTTGGGAGGCTGAGATCAGGAGGATCACAGTTTGAGGCCAGCCCAGGCAAACAGTTTGTGAGATCTCATCCCCAAAATAACCAGAGCAAAATGGTGTGGTTAAAGCAGTAGAGTGTCTGCTTTGCATACATGAAGTCCTGAGTTTCTGTTACCACACATAAAAAAACAAAAAAACTTTAAAAACCCCTATGCTTGAGCAATTAAGTATACATAATAGACAACTCAGTGAGTTACAAAGATATTTTTAATGGAAACCACAGAAATTTATAACTGAATGATAGATAAAATATTGCATATAAAAACCTTAAGAGTACTTGTTGAAAACAAGAATGACTAAACTTAAAGGAGTAAATCACTGAACTCACAAAACTAGAAAAGGAATAAACAAGCAAACTTAAAAATCAGATGAGAAATTAGTGAAATTAACACAAATGAAATAGATGAACTGAACCAGAAGTTGTTCTTTGTAAAGCAATTAAGATCAACAATGTTGATTAAACAACAAGAAAAAAGTGCAAGAATAAGGTTAGGGACAAAAAGGAGACTTAACTACCTATTGAGTAGACTGTGAATATGTTTACACATGAATATTATGTATAACTTTATGCCAATAAAATTTTTAAAATGAAATTGATAATTTTCCATAAAACTTCATCAGCACCAATTCAACAATAAAATAAATTGATAACCATGGAAGATATTGAACCAGTAATTAAATGTTTTCCTCTACTTACAAACACCATGCTACGATGTTTTTTTTATTTTTAGTTTTTTTTGGGGGGTTGTTATTGGAGTTTGAACTCAGGGCCTTGTGCTAGCAAAGCAGTCACTCTTCTGTTTGGGCCACACCCCCATCTCTTTTTGCTTTAGTTATTATTCGATGAGGGTCTTACATTTACGCCTGGGCCCTTGGATGGCGATCCTCCTATTTATGCTTCCTGCATAGTTGAGATGACAGGGGCCACCAGGACCAACTTCTATTGGTTGACATGGGGGTCTCATGAACTTTTTGTCCATGCTGGCCTCCAACAACAATCCTTCTTATGTCTGCCTCCCAAGTAGCTAGGATTATAGCCATGAGCCACTGTGCCCAGCTCAAGATGGCTTTATAAGTAAGTTCTAGCATTCAAGCAGAAGACTTGCAGTCATGCACTAATAGTGATGTTCCTGTCATTGATGGACTACATACATACATCAGTGCTGTGCTCCCATAAGATTGTATTACTTAGTGAGGTCACAGCTGTCTTAATTTATGAAAGGACACTATGGTGTTTGCACAGCAACAAAATCACCCACGATGCACTTCTTAGAACACGTCTCCTCCCTCATTAAGTGACTCATGATTGTATTTTTATATAAATTATTTCAGATGACAGAAAAAAATGGAGTAAGGGATCTCCTTACTCACCCTAACATAGATAGTTGACTAATTATAGACCAAGTACATTATAAACATAGATATAGAAGTCTTAAGCAAATAATAAACAAAAACTTTTGGAGATCAAGTTCAGCAATGAGTGAATAAAAATACATCATGACTGACAAACATTATCCTAGGACTAAAATAATAGCTGATACCAGCAAAGTCTTATTTTGAAATACCACATTAATAAATTCTAGGAGAAAAAACCATAATTTTCTTAGCAGGTACAGAAAAGGCAGTCCACTAAATACAAAACTCATTAATAAATAGACAAACAATAAAATTAGGAATAGAAGAGAATGGCTTTTACTTGATAGGCTCCCTATCAAAAATCAACATCAAATATCAAATTATTGAAAATTTCAAAATATTTGTAACAACCCTGGGAAAACATTAGACTAGTGGCTGTACCCAATGAGACAAGGCAAGGAAATAGAACTAAAGCAGACAAAACAGTCTTTATTTGCTAATGATATGATACTGTATGTTTAAAAATCCAAGATAATCTGTAAACAATTGTATTTAGTAATCAATTCAGCAAGGTTGCTGAATATAAGACCAAAATGCAAAACAGTAAGTAGTACTCTCTTCTCTCATTGATAGATAACTACTTAGAAAATTTAAGTAGAACTAAGATTCCACCTCACCCCTGTTAGAATAGCCATCATTAAAACACCACTAACAATAGGTGTTGGTGAGGATGTGGGAAAAAGGAACCCTCGTACACTGCTGGTGGGAATGCAAGCTGGTGCAACCACTCTGGAAAAAAATTTGGAGATGTCTTTAAAATCTAAACATAGATCTGCCATACGATCCGGCAATCCCAATTCTGGGGATATACCCAAAGGAATGCAACACAGATTACTCCAGAGGCACTTGCACACCCATGTTTATTGCAGCACTATTCACAATAGCCAAGTTATGGAAACAGCCAAGATGCCCCACTACTGACGAATGGATTAAGAAAATGTGGTATTTATACACAATGGAATTTTACTCAGCCATGAAGAAGAATGAAATCTTATCATTCTCAAGGAAATGGATGGAATTGGAGAACATCATTCTGAGCGAGGTTAGGCAGGCTCAGAAGACCAAAAATCGTATATTCTCCCTCAAATGCGGACTTTAGATCTAGGGCAAATACAGTAATGTGGTTGAACCTGGGTCACATGATGAGGGGAAAGCACACATAGGAGGTATGGGGATAGGTAAGAAACCCAAAACATGATAGTATTTGATGTCCACTCCAGAGGAACTAATACAGAAACCTTAAAGCGACAGAGGTCAATATGAGAAGGGGATCAGGAACTAGAGAAAAGATCAGTTAGAGATGAATCAACTTGGGTTTTGTAACACATTTATACATGGAAGCAATGCTAGGAATCTCTCTGTATAGCTATCCTTATCTCAACTAGCAAAAACACTTTGTCTTTCTTATTATTGCTTATACTCTCTCTTCAACATAAATAGAGATAAGGAAATGACCCAAGCCTTGTATGCACATATGAATAATAAAAGAAAAAAAAAATAAATAGAGATAAGGGCAGAACAGATTCTGCCTGGAGGTGAGGGGGTGGGGAGAGGGAGGGGGCAGGGGGATGAGGGGAGAAATGACCCAAACAATGTATGCACATATGAATAAACGATTAAAAATTTTTTTAAAAGTGAAAAAAAAAGAAAATTCAAGTAGAGAACACTTTCTAAGTTGCAATAAAATCTATATGGTATTTGGGAGTAAATTTAATAAAGAAACGTAAGACTTTTTTGGAGAAAAAAAAGACATGTAGAAAGACATGTTCATATTTGGAACTATTCAATATTATAAGCTATCATTGTTCTCAGAATAACCCGTAAGTCAGTGTAATTGCAATCGTAATTTCAACACAGGTTTCATGGGACTTATTAGGCTAAATCTACTTTCACATGCAAGAGCAAAGAGCTAAGATTTCAAGAAAGAACAAAATGGAGGAACTTGCCATATCAGGTATCAGGACTCATTATAAAGCTGTAATGAGCCATTGTGGTACTGGCTCATGAAATGTGATAGACAAGATATAGATCCATACATATATACAGTAGACCTTGGTCCCATGGGTTCCAAAGAGACCGCCATTGAGGGAAAAACCATCAGTGTTCAGGATGCACAGAATTCAGTGCTGCACTGAAGATGTTTGATTCATTTTTCACATAACATATTGCCCAACTTCTGCCTAAGACACGTGGTCTTTTGACAAATTTAGTATTTTCACTTTATCACTTCAATTAAGCAGATTCAGTTTTACCTTGCCTTTGGGACACCTTTGCTTTTTTGGGGAGGCATATTTCCATAAAATTAAAGGCAGACAAACACTCAGCAAATCACATAAGGACTTAAGTACAACTGACAATAACATGGGCATGACTGGGAGCTTTTCTACATCAACTGAGTTGTGTAATGCAAGCACGGGAATTTAAAATTTTTGTATTTGAGATTTTGATTTTCAAAATTTGTCATTGTTTTCTGACCATTCTTGTTCAAAACTGTGTGGAATAAATCTGGGGGATTACTGTATAGATGTATGTTGGTATGTCATACATATATAGAAAGTTGATTATGACAAAGTCACATTACAGTAATGACCCCAGCTATCCATTCCCATGACTATTTTAGACAGTGTCATCAATGACTGCTATTCTCCTGTTCTCAATTTCAGGCATCCCCTTCTTAGGTGATCTCTACATCCCCATTGTCCACCTTGCTTCCAGCTCCAACAATCCTGTGAAACCCTGAAATCTACTGACCCTACTTTTCACCCTCACATCTCTCCTTACTCAGTGCAAATTTCAGGAATAATCGTTGCCTTCTGCTGCTTCATTCCTGCCTGGAAAACTTCCACCTGGACTAAATCCAACTTTTTGCTTATGACTACAACCACAATGCGGAATGTGACTAGGGAAAACATCATCCGTGCTAACTGGTGTTATGTTAAATGCTATACCTTTGTTCAAAACCCTTCAGAAGCTTCCATTTTACTCCAGGTAAATGCCAAACTCCTTACAATGGCCTACACAGACTCCATTCCATCTCCTCTGTTATTCTCCCCTGGCTTACATTGTTCCAGTTGTTGTGTCCTGAATAAACCAGGCCTGCTCCCACCTCAGAACTTTTGAACTTGGATCTTCTGTTTAAATTCTCTTTCCTCTGTTTCCTGTATGGCTCACTTTCTTACTTTTTTTAGTTCCCTTTTCCTATAAAAAGGTGACATTCATAGGGAATCACCCTATTTAAAGAATACCCCTCCTAAGCACTTTATGCTCCCACTCCTGTTTTATTGTTTTATTATATTAAACATCTATCATACTAAATATTATATTTATTTATTATCTGTCTTCTGCCTGAATGTAAGCCACCCAGAAGCAGGGAGTTTTGTCTGATTTGTTCACTTACTATATTTACATCCCTGCCATATAGCTTAGATGCTCAATAAATATTTATTAGATGAATGAATGAATTTATAAAGAATTCCTTAGCTATATTTCACTTTCATACTTATGGGGAGGGGCCGCTACTTTATTAAAACTCAGAACTAAAGGGTGCCCTTCCCAGGACCCAAAAGCTGACCCCTGGTTTGTCACATTTACTCAAGATCAGACCTGGGAAATAGGATATTGAGTTACATTTGTCTCACCTGAGTGTCGAAGTGCAGAAAATCCTTGCTCATCCTCCCATTCCCAGGTTGGCTCGCTCTTATTGTGCATGGAATGGAAGTCAGGGATTTCATGATACCAGTCGATGTCTGTGCTGCTAATAAAACAGAAAATTATGAAGAATTTATTAAGGAATTGTTTTGGAACTTGAGTAGAAATAAATTTATTCATTGAGAGTCAAACCTTATCATCTACCTTCCCATACTTTCACTTTTCAGAAAGCAGTAGTAATTTATTTTCAAAATGAACTAGATGATCTCTAGAATCTTGGAAGGACAAATTATTTAACTCTAAAATTTGACAAAAATTCTTTAAAGATGTCCAAATATATCATGCTGTCCTAATGGCATGCAAGATTTTCCAAATCACTACCAGATCGTCAAAAGAATCTGAGCTACACATAGATGAGAGCAAGAGGCATGCATGTTCACCTGCTGATGCAGTCTCCCGTGAGAGGGTCGCAGCTCCCTGCACAATCACAGGGTCTGCAGCCATAGTCTCCGAAGCCCCAGTATCCCACCATACACCTGTCACAATGTGGCCCTGCAACCCCAGGCTTGCAAGGGCAGTCACCATTGCTTGGGTCACAGAATGTCACTGAGCTGAAAGGAAGGACAGCTGATCCAATGGGATGGCAGGAACATGCTGCAACAGAGAGAACACACAAGGACTGATGAGTGATTGTAGGTCATCTGTGTGCAGATTTGGTCTGGCAATCTCCAAATCACACCATATTTCTGAGACTTCTCCTTTGGCCAGTTGGTGGATGCTCAGAGAATGAAAACCACTTATGTTACAGATACGACGGAATCAGAAAAAGCATGTCTGCTACAAAACAAACAAAAAGCCCCTATGTAATAAATTCCACCATTGAAGGCTTTAAATATGAATGCCTTTTGGGTGAGGCGATGAGGATTAGCCAGAGAAGAAGACAGAGAAGGAGCAGCCAGTGGAAAAAAAAAAAAAAAGCGCAGATGATGTTATTGAAGCAAAAGAAAGTTTTAAGGAAGAGGGCAACATCGACTGTCAAATGCTGATAAGTCAGGGAAAATGGGGAATGGGAATGGGTTATTGCATTTAACAACATGAACACCATTGGTGTCCTTGATAGGAACAATTTCAGTACAATAGTGAATGGGGAATGTAATTGAAAAGAACTCAGGAGACAATGGGAGAAGAGGAATTTGTGTGTGAGAACAGACACAGAAATAAGGCATAAGCTAACACAGGATAAGGGTATGAACTCAAGTGAAGATTTGGGTTTTTGTTTGGTTTGTTTTAAAATGGGAGAAATTATACCATATTTTATGCTTGATGTTGATGGAAATGATCTAGTAGAAAAGGAGAAACTGATGACCAAAAGAGAGATGGGAGATAGTTGGAGGGATATTTACTTGAGTAGGGAAGGGAGTATAGGGTCTGATGCAGAAAAGGTCTTAGGTAGGAGCATGATCAGTTCACCTGTGGCAGCATGGAAGGCAGAGCCCATGGACACAGATGGAGGTAAGGGAATAAATGCAGTGAATGGGTTGAGGGGCTGGTGGGATTTTTCTTTTGATTGCTTATATTTTGTGGATGAAATAGGAAGCAAGGTCATCAGGTGAGAGAGATAATGGAAGTCTGAGGAGTGGAAGAGAGAATTAGGAAGTGAAGTATAATTAATTGCCAGGCAGCATCCATAAGAGAGGAAAGTTGAGTTTAAGTTGGGTGGGGTTAAACTCAGCTCCTCAGACTAGAATGTATAATAGTCATTTCTGTACGTCCTTCTCCTCAGGTCTCTCCCTCCTCCCAGAATGGCCTACTGCACACAGTTTGCCAATCTTCAGCCACTTTGCTTTCTTTGCTCCTAGGACAGCATAAATGGCTTATTAGGTCCAGTACAAATTCATGTACTTGACCTCAGTTGGGTCCCTTAACTGATGCTCAACAACTATATTCAATGCTACCTGGAATTAAAAAAAATATTCCTCACATGGTTATCCCAGAATGATCCCAGGCTGTTCCATTCATCTTATCCACTTAGTCTGATGATTCTGATGCACTGACAAGGTCCTTTCACCCTCTACCTCAGAATCTCTTCATCTTCATCTTTCTACTCCTTCTTCTAGAACCAAGTGAGAAATGTTGGGAGAGATCTTAGTTTATGCCCCTGTCTCCTACTAGCTTGTGATTCCAGGCAAGGCATTTAACTTTTCTGAACCTTGCTTTCTTCACTGTGATATCTATAGCCTGTAGAGATTTCATGAGGTTGAAATTACTTAAATGAAATGCCATCAGCAAGATGTGTAGCACAGTGCCGGATATGGAACAGGCCAACTCTCTCTGCCATGTCTTATAACTAATATTCTGAATCCCACTCTATCTTTTTTTCCCCTACAAAACTTCATTTACTGATAATTTTGTCATGAAACTCCATCTGACTTCAGTCTCCACTACCCAACTGTATGACTTTAGTAAGATATCCACCTTGTCATTTTAATTCCTTTGACTCTAAAAACGGAAATAAGAATATACCTATCCTCATATATAGACATAAGAAGGAAAGAAGATCATTTGTCCAAAGCCATTAGTGTGGTATCTGGCACACAGTTTACTAGTAGTAAAGTGAACTAATTAATGCAATAAAAATTCTTATAGAGACACAAGACTTATGTGTGAGAAGTGATACCAGCTTTCAAGGAACTCATAATCTTGTAGGGGAAACAGAGAAGTAAACAGAAGTTTCCATGTAATGTGATATGCTGGACAGAGGTATGCATGGACAGCCAGGGGCGCACAGAGGAAGATGATGACACAGGCTGAGAGAACCACAAAGGGCTCACAAAGAAGGGCTTGTTAGATAATGTATGAGCCAGGTCTAAAAGACAAATAGGAGTTTTCAAGTTAAAAAGGAAGGGGAAGGTAGGCAGTTGCTTATTCCAGCTTGGCTTGTATTTTTTAAAAAATAATTTTCGCTTTTAATTATATTGAAAACACCGTAAGAGGTACCATCGTAGCCATTTTTAGGCATACAGTTCAGTTTACCCCCATTGTGCTCTGTGTTTCTGAATTATGTGGAAGCTCTTACTTCTTCCTGGAAATGCTCAGCTCCTTCCTGCCTCAGTACCCTTGGCCATGTCTGCACCACCTTTCCTCATCTTGTCCATCTAGATTCTGACATGCTTTTCTGTCCCACTCCCTCCAGTTAGTCACTCTCTCCTCTGTGCTGCCTCTGTTCTGTGTATATATTTCTATTTTGTGTGCCACGGTACCTGATTATTTTCTGTTGCTATGTCTGTCTCTCTTACTCTTAGGCTTGGAATCTTTGACAGGAGGATCTTTATCTTCTTATTTTGGTTTTTGAGGCACTGGAATTGTGTCTGCTACCTCATCTGGTAGTAGATTCCCAAATAAGCATCTATGGATTGTCCTGAAGGACATTCCAGGCTGTGGGATTATATGTGAAAGATATGTCTTATTTGGAGAATGTGAAAAGTGCAGTGTGTCTGGTGTACCCTGCATGGAAAGCACCTGAAGGGAGACGGGACAGAACAAAAACCTATAGAGTTGGGATGGATGGGATTAGGATTCTAGGTTGTGAAAGGGCCCATTCCAAGAAGTTGAACTTTGTCCTGTGGGTGTAATGAACCATAGGAAGTTTTAGAATGGATGAACCATAGGAATTTTTGCCACTTTGGTGCCATGGTATAGATTAGATTGGTAATAGGAAAACCAAAGAAATAAGAGATAACATGGGCATGACTAAGGCAGTAGGTGTGGGAATGGGAGAAAAGCTTACAAAGGGCATGGAGGAAAATATAAAGGACTTTGAAAGGAAAACATAAAGTGTTTGACAGGTTAGCAGGGTTTGTTGAGTGTGTGTAAGGCAGCATTTATCTATTCATTCAGTTACTCACAAACACCTAAGGACCAGCTACTTTGTGCTGGGTAAGTACTGAAAAAACTGCTAAGGATCTAATGTGAACAAGACAGGCTGACCTTTGAAGAGATCCGTGGTTTAAAAGAATAGTTATTGCATATAAAAAACTTACTAATACAAGAAGAGAAATAAAAATTTTAGCCTTTAAAATACTGGCTTCACAGAAGATTGGCTTCATTTAAATTCACGCAGTTATGGTATTGTTGGTTCAAAATTAAACGTCTTTTTGGTTGGGTTTTGTTATAAGGACATCAGGCATTTTCTCTAAAGCTATCAAAGCAGCTTTGATTTGTCATTTTTAATTAAGAAACAATTTGGAGGGATTATATGTTACATAAATATGTCAAAGTATTATATTCAAAACAACACAGAAATGTCTTTAAATGAAGTCACATATAAAAGTATATAAAAGTTTCCTGATTTCGAGATAATAAGCCAATAGTTACTGTATCATTTAGTTAAGTCAATTCGGTTCTTGATGGCAGCTAGGGGAGTTTCAGTAGGACTGACTCCCATGCATGGGAGCATGGTATTCCACCACCATATATTTTCCACTAATAGAAAATCCGAACATTTCTCAGAGTTCACCTCTCTGAGAGGTGTAGGTATTTAAAACCTACATACATTTCAGGAATGGCCAGAGAGGAATGCGATTCTATCACATGTGCTAGTGGATTTCTGTCAATGTGACTTTTTGCATAATTACCAGATAAAAATACCACTGGGAAACTATGCAGAACTAGCTCCAGGCAGAAGGCCTGACACCTTTCAGTTTGCACACTAAGTCTTGCCTTGTATACCTAACTCTTGAAGTTTGGTAGCAGTCGGTATCTGACATGCATAATCTGCATTTCTTATTTTCTTCCACTGTGCAAGTATATATCTCCTTGCTTGGGTTGAGGAAGAACTTCCTTAGGTTCTGGCTTAGTTATATTTGTACTGATTCTAAAAATGCAACCTGAGCACACACTTTTTGACGATGAGTGTCAAAGTTATGACAAAGAGCAATGTAACTCCTTGACTTCAGCTTCGTCTTCTTGTTAGACATGAACCCCAATAGTGATGATTCACCAATGATTGTATATTATCATTCTGAATTTATTCTTTTTCATTATGATTTTTAGTGTATACAGGTGAAGTGAACTGTCCTTAAAAGCTGAAATGGTGCTTTAAGTGGCAAACATATTTTCAGTAGTAGAGTGGGCCTGTCTGGGTGACAAATCATCCTTTTTTTTTTTTTTTTTTTGGTGGTGCTGGGGTTTGAACTCAGGCACTTGTGCTTGCTATTGCTAGGCTGGTGCTCTACAACTCGAGCCATGCCTCCAGTGGCCTAGAGAGCAGACTGCTCATTTTTCTTTTCTTTTTTTTTTGGTGATACTGTCTTTTTTTTTTTAAGCTTTTGCTTGCTTTATTTAATTCCATATAAATTTCTTTCAGTTTCTACAATCAGTTAGCTAAAGAGAAAGCAAAACAAGAAAGTTATGCTCAAAACAGAGCCAGAAGAAAAGAATTTCATAAGGTGAGCCAGGGCATCCCTCCAATTTTTCATGTCTATGGCATACCACAACTGAAACAGCTAAATTTAATTTTTATTCCCTCTATGGGAAACACTAGAGAAACTTTGAGCCAATAAATGTATGCTGGCTTTCTACAAACAGTGTAAAGGTTTTTTTTTTTAATGTATAATATTAGGCAAAATTAAAGTCAATAAATTTTTATTTAAGGA